GGTGTTACTGAAACAGACACTATGTCTTCGAGTACTTCCATCGCTTCAAAGCCGTGGAAAAAACACGGAAATCGCAACAAAAAAGAAAAATTACGGCGAATTTACGCTCATTTGGATCAATAGATTCGCTATTATTTTATTGGAAAAAAATATAAAATACTTTTTATTATATCAAATAAATATTGATTTAATTTCACACGATTTGGTTGTAAACTCTACTGAAAGGCAATTGTATGCAAAAGAGGTCTTTCGGCCTTATTTTCAAATTCCTGTAAGAGTTCGTCGATATCGTTGTCGAGGTCTGTGGACTGAGCCATCATTAATGCCATTTCGCATATAAGGAACGCCCCGATAGTGGCCTCTTCGTGGTTGTCCTGAACGTCTATATTGATTATATGGGCCGTCGTGTTGTCCACTGGCGTCCGAAGTGACAGCTCTGATGATAAACTTGTTTTTATAACATGTAATTATGAGGACAAGCGTACAGACCTTCGACCACTTGGTCGTAGACGCGTTCCTCGACAGTGAACACCACATCGAACTGTTCGTAACACAATTGGAAGCGTTCGGGACATGACTTCAAGCGACGATTTCTGTCCAACATATGGAGGATTCCGTTCTGAGTATATCTAAACCCAAATGAGTGTCAGTTAAGCAAACGTCAAGTGCTATGAGTTGTTGTCATAAATACAGGTTTTTGTCTTTGGAGAGCAGGTCTTTATACATCTCTTCATAAGTGGTGCCAAAGTCATAGACATTAGGCTTGTCCTGAGCGGGTCCGGGAAGTTTCACCTGATTTCCTATATTCACGCCATATATAACACAAATGATCATTACATGTGATTCAAAGGACTCGACCATTGAATGCATACCTGAGCCGAAAGATCTCACTTTAAACCCTTTCTTACTGTAAACGTCAACAAAATGTGAGTCAATATTGACGTCAATGTGACACAAATGTGCCGAAGAAGTGGACAGACCTGAGGACGGCGTGCGCTTCCATCGATCGGTTCTGATTACTACTGCAAACCACAGCTATTCTCAAATCAAATGTCATCTCATATACTATTGACGGCTATTTCACGACAATTACTGCAAACCTAATCACAAAACAATCATTACATCGATTGTAATAAAATGTAAACATTGATTGAGTCAAACATACCATCACTTCTCATAGGCTTTGTATGCCATTCAGTGCCGCTCTCTGTCCACACGTGTTGTCAATCATCACATTTAAAGCACACTTTCATTCGTAAACAATATTACTTTAGGGGGGGTTATAGTGGCCGCCGATCGGGCATCAAATGGCCATAAAATGGTTAGTCCTTTCGTTGATTGCTATCCATTGCAGTGATCTGTTGGGTGCAAAACAGGACCAAAGTTTAGTGACAATAAGTGGTCTCATTGTGTATATAACCAAATGAATAGATGGTATAAAACGAGTGGAAACTCCCTTTTGGTTGATTTTTGGTACCCGTTATTGACTGTGGAGTTGAGTGACGTTCACAACAATTGCCAAAATATGAGGCATTTTCCTCAAAAGGGTGTGATTTATGGTAACGTTGTTTGTGAGCAGAACTTCCTTTCTGTCAATAAATAGTTTTTGAGTGAATGTATGAATGAATGAGTGATTCAGAGGTGACAGCAATACACGACTCAAACACTTAATTGTTATTATTATTTGATTTGATTTTATAATTATATTTGATTTGATTGTCAGAAGAAATGGTAAGCAATTGATTGTGTGATTAAAAGTATGGCTTATGTTATGGTGTAATGTATTGTCAGAGCGAACAGCAATTGGATCACGCGTTGGATCTGATGAGACGATTGCCTCCGCAACAGATCGAGAAGAATTTGAGTGATTTGATTGATTTGGTGAGTATTGGCTCTCATGGCTCTCACAGCTGATCCATGAGGTCATGGCATGAGTGGTCATTGTGTGTGTCTGTATGTGTTTGTAACGGTGTGTCTAACAGGTGCCCAATCTGTGCGAAGACTTGTTGTCATCAGTGGACCAGCCGTTGAAGATAGCGAGGGATAAGGAGAACGGAAGGGATTATCTCCTTTGCGATTACAACCGCGACGGAGACTCATATCGGTATGACTTGTGCTGTGAGTGTATATTATGTGATGTAATGGTTGTATCGGTGGTGAAGGTCTCCGTGGAGTAACAAATACGACCCGCCCTTAGAGGACGGGGCGATGCCTTCCGAGAAGTTACGGCACGTGGAAGTGGACGCCAATCAGGCCTTCGATCAGTACAGAGAGATGTACTTCGAGGGCGGCGTCTCATCCGTGTATTTATGGGATTTGGATCACGGATTCGCTGGCGTTATACTTATCAAGAAAGCCGGCGACGGATCCAAGAAGATTAAGGGCTGTTGGGATTCAATACATGTCGTAGAAGTACAGGTATGGCTCTCACACCTCATGTCGCGAATCCATTGAATGATATGTTTTGTAATGTAATGTATAGGAGAAGTCGAGTGGACGTAACGCTCACTATAAACTGACATCAACTGTGATGTTGTGGTTACAGACCAACAAAGAGACCTCCGGGACCATGAATTTGGGCGGAAGTCTTACGCGACAGATAGAGGCCGACAATACAGTGAATGAGACGAATCCACACATCGCTAACATCGGAAGAATGGTTGAGGTTTGTGTCATTGTTTGTCCCATAGATGTGACACAAACTAATGCATTGATGGCCTGTTTTGTTGGTTAGGATATGGAGAATAAGATCCGCAACACATTGAATGAGATCTATTTCGGGAAAAC